GAATGAAATCTCAAACACCCACGTTGCTGTGGTGCCTTTCTCCATGTCTTGTTTTCAGGCACAAAACATTGTTCGGCTCCTTGCACTTTCTTCCAAATTTGGCTGCTTCTACTTATCCACTTCCCCCAATGAATTTAGTTCAACCACTTCGAAGACCGAATGCAATGTACAAACAGAACCCTCCAAACTCCAACAGCAACGTAACATAGAACGTCGGCATCACCATGCACCCCTCTAGGTTCGTGCGCATTCAAAGGTCAAAATCAAGATTTTTCCTTTTGCTCTCCTGACTCAAATCATGCCTACCCTGAAATCAACAACTCTTTTTTCCACGATTTGCAAACAGACGTCAAACTTTTCCCAAACCTTTTAGCATTACCCCATTGGACCAACAAAAGTTACCCCAACTCACGGGCGGGTTAAGGGTTTCAACCTGGTGGAATGGGTACGATGATGTTTGGTCCGGTATAAGTGGAGGGAGGGTTCGGTTTACTTGACTAGGTATGTCTTTGGGTCTCTTCATATTCTAATACTAAATAAAGCCAGATGATCTTATTCTCGATCTTCTTTCATTTTTTTTCTTTTCAGACTCATACAGATGTCTTCTCAAATATTTTTCAACTACCATTGTTTTCTAATTGTTCTTCACCTAAATCAAATTGTTGAATTGTTATTGTTTACGACCACTAAATGTTCCTTCCAATCATTTGTTATATATTAACATATATTATTTATAAATTTTGTGTTGATGTTAAATTTATTGATTATATATTACAATTTAAATTTTAAAATTTATTTGGATATTTAAGAATAAATACGAGAACAATATAATAAGTTTATAATTTTTAATGTTTTGAATGTAGTAATTTGTTTTTTTTTTGTTACAGACTGTAGTAATTTTTTAATCACATAATAAACTCAAAAAGGCCAAAAAGTGAAGTACAGAGAATAGGCAAAATGTATTAGAATTATTGGGGGAGACGAAGAATGCAGTTAACCAAAATAGGAATAAAAAATAAGTGTATTCTTAGAATCACTAATTAATTGAGCAGGTAAAATATTTATATTGTTTTGTTTTGTTTTATATAAATTTAAATTTGATATTTATCAAATAAAAAACAAATTAATTCTTTATCGCGCGGATAAGTGACCTGGGTGGTAAAAGAATTATTGTTATTTCTTGAGGTCCCAGATTCAAGTACAAAAAATACTAGGGGTATGACCGTTCAATGTTATATAATTGAAAATTATCTTTAAGCAAATATTTTTTTGTACGGGTAATGTTAATAAAAGTGTCTTCATTATTTGTTACGAAGCTTTCGTGGTACTATTAATCACTGAAGAATCTAAAGATTAATTTGATTGTTTATTTTCTTATCAATTTGACAAATTTGGACTCGTTCGACGCTGATCAGATACATTATTAATCAGATAAATGGATAAAAGTATTAAATTATACCTTGGCTTAATAAAAAAATTATTTAAATTATATCTCTAAATTACATCTCTTTTCATCATTAGGTGTTTAATTTTTTTAATTATTGCAAACATTTAATGTTATAAATATTAATCGTTAGGGGTGATCGCCCAGGGCCCTCTTTCACAAGTCCTGTAATTTTCTTATTATATTTTTATTTTTATAATTGATTACTTTAATTTTCTATAACTTTTTATATTTATAATCCAAGTTTTTAATTTTTTTAAACCATACTTTTTTATCTTTATAACTGATGTCTTTAGTTTTTTTTCAATCTCACTTTTTTTCATTTATAATTGATGATATTAAGTTTTTTAATATCACTTTGTACCTTTATAATTAAACTCCTAATTTTTCAATCTTACTTTCTACTTTTATAATTGAGGTCCCTAATTTTTAATCTAACCTTTTACTTTTATCATGGAGGCCCCTACTTTTTTTAATCTTACCTTTTACTTATATAATTTAGACACTTAATTTTTTTTCAATCTCTCTTTTTCAATCATTTAATTATTTCTGTAATGCTCCGAATTCCGGGTTAGTAGTTAAGGTCAACCCGAGACCCATAATTTGAACCAAAGGACCTATTAAAATAGCTTGGATCAAGTTCGGTAGCATTTGGGCTTGATTTGGTCCCAATAAAATTTTTAAAGGTGGTTGGGTTTTTATGAAATGAAAAGTAGAGGGACATAAGGAGCAAATCTCCCATTTTTGTTTGAAGATGAAAACTCCCCCTATTTTATGTATGTTACGTGAACCACTCCCCAAATATCCTACCAAACCTTCTTCTTCATCTTTCCATCATTTTCTCTTCCTCTTCCCTTCCAAAAATCAAGAGTTCCAAGCATTTCAATTCTAGTTTAGTTAAGCCAAGGTAAGAGTGTGAATCATCTTCTTCAAGCTTCAATTTAAGCTCTATTTTATAAGCTTTTAACCATAGGTTTAAGAGAATTTATGGATTCTTTATGGTTTGTGGATATATTCAAGTTCTAGGAAGTGCTTCTATTTCAATCCAATCCCTTAGATAATTTAGTAATCCATTTTTCTCATCTTGATTAGAGAAAGAAGTAGGAGAGAGCTCTAGAGCAAGAGAAAAGGAAAATCCATCCCTTAATTGAGTTGAGGCCTTCTAGTAATCAAGCAATCAACATAACCACACTTACAACTCCTTTATGCTTTTTAGTGAGTCATTATAAATGCAAGATAGCATATGAGTTAAGTTTAAAGCTCGAGGAGCATTGCCATGGTAGATTTTATTATTTTTGTTTTAGATACGTTTTAAAGCCTTATTTGTGACCCTTATTGATCACATAAGACGTTAATAATAGTTGGGAACCTTAAAATAGCAATGTTGGTGAGTTTGAATATAGAAATTGAGCCTAAATAAGGCCATTTCGAACAGGGGTATTAGTATTATAAGAACATTATTGATACTATTCTTGCTACAGGAATAAATTTTCTTAAGTTATCGAAGGAGTATCAATACTTAGAGGGAAAGTATCGGTACTGGGGCATTTTTGAAAACATTGAAGCCAAATTTAGTATTGATACTCATGGAAGTATCGATACTCCTATGGAGTATCGATACTGAGGAAATTTTCATAACATCGAATCAAAAATTAGTATCGATACCCTAGTTAGTATTGGTACCCCAAATTGGAAGTATCGATACTAGTTAAGAAGTATCGATACTATCTCATCAGTTGCAAACCGAGTAAATTATCAATACCTAAAGAGAGCTATCGATACTAAGGGATCAATATAGATATCAAAGGGCAGTATCGGTATCATCGTACATTTTGGGTCATAAATTTTTTTCTTAAGAGATTTTAAGGGAGAAATGAGGTTCCCAAGAAATTTTTCATTGCTTTCAAATAAGATTACAAGTGAAAACAATAATAATGTTAAATTACACTTAGAAATGAGATAGATTAGGGTGACATAAAGACAATTCTTATAAACAAAGAAAAAATAAAGATGTGAGATAAAATGAAAATATTAGTGACAACAACTAGCACCAAGACTGTGTCGTCGTTGCTCATGAAAGACAAAAAGGAAATAAGATTACAAGTGAAAACAATAATAATGTTAAATTACACTTAGAAATGAGATAGATTAGGGTGACATAAAGACAATTCTTATAAACAAAGAAAAAATAAAGATGTGAGATAAAATGAAAATATTAGTGACAACAACTAGCACCAAGACTGGTGTCGTCGTCTGCTCATGAAAGACAAAAAGGATTGAGGTAGAAAAAATATATTGGTATTTTATCTTTTAATATATATATATATATATATATATATATATAATATATATATATATATATATATATATATATATATATTGGTGTGTTTTTGTATAGAAAGTCGCTAGTTTTATTAAAAATAGAAAATATCTAAAATTAAAATAAAGATTTACAAGCATAACCGTAAATTTAAAATTTAATTATGATTTTTTCCTATTATCATTGAGACAAAAACTAGTCACCTAGATCACATAAGGATCAAAGAAGGAAAAAGTTAAAAAAACCTAACCAAAAAGCTCGAACAATATAAAGATAAGAACAAATCTGACTGCATCGGCAAACGAATCATAAAAGGGGATGAAACTACCGAATGATCACCGACAAATCGCAAATCAGAGTTGAGCGACGAGAGAAAACTATCTATGAATACAAAACGCATATCCAAATCAATCCAAGGGTCCAAAGCAGGGAAGATCAAAATGATAACAAGTAAGTGTCATCTTGATCAATCATGACGATATCAAATCCAACCCTGAGAAAAAAGATAAACGAAAACATATAAAAAAACCAAAAAACTACCAAAAGTCACAGATAAACTTGCCACAAAAACAGATATAAACATGTCACAAAAATATAATTATTCTTATTAAAAAAACTAAAAAAAATAAAGAAAAAAATAATCGATGATCGGTAACTAACATCAAAACTGGTGTCGCTGCTAACTAAACAAAATCAAAGAAGAACAATTTAATTCTATCTATAAAAAAATGACATAAATTATAAAGGAAAAAATGAAAAGAGGGGAGAGGGTGAAAGGAGAGAACGATATATATTGGTGTTTTAGTGTGTTTTTTTGTCATATCCTACATTGCAGAATCATGGGTTATTTTCATAACAGAGAAGTTAATCTCTGTGTATAAAGCAAAAGTTTAAATGATCATAGTATTATGATTAATTGAATAATTATGGATTTTTTTATTTAATTAAAAGTCACGAAAAGAATATGAACTTAAAACAAAATCCGAAAATTTGCAATTTATTTCCTGAATGTCATTCTGGACTTACTAATCATCTTCCTTAAAATACTTCCTCTCCTTCTAAATTAACTCGTTAATCCAATTTTTTTTAAATTAGCTCGTTAATGATAACCTAAATTTGTTCCCCCCCCCAAGGCCCCCACCCACAAAATTATCTGTCTCAGTTCTTTTCTGTCCTTCATAGTTTCTGGGTTTTATATGTGTTAATGTTTCCCGAAAGAATAAGGAACCGTAGAAGATGATAGGAGAGCGAGTTATCATTGACAAAAATGATCAGTTTCCTGTTGGCATGCGAGTTTTGGCCGTTGACGATGACCCAACTTGCCTTTTACTACTTCAGACCTTGCTTCGTAGATGCCAGTACAATGGTTCGTTCTTTTGTATTTATTTGCTTGCGTTTATAGGAATGGGTTCAAGCTTGTGTGATTTTTCTTGTCGAGTATTTGCAGTTGTTTTGTATGTTGCCGTTGGTTCGTTTCCATCAAGGTGAAGTCCCTGTGAAATTTGGGACTTAATTCATCGTTTTTGCTTTTTTGAAAAACTAGAAAAAGGTGTTGCTTTTCTGGTTCTCTTTGATTTTGCAGATGGTTGTCACCGTTTAAATGCGGTTTTGTTATTGATTTGGTGACTTCATGTTCTTCGATCCTGGATTCTTTTTTCTACGAATCATGGTTCAATCTTTTTATTCTGCTATTGTTCAGATATGATTCAGTTGAGTGTATTAGTCGATCTTAAATCATTGAAAGTGTTAAAGAAAGATGGTTCATTTATTGTGAAAATTTTTATTTGCAGTTACCACAACAGGTCACGCTATCACAGCATTGAAATTGTTGAGAGAAAACAAGGAAGAGTTTGATTTGGTTATCAGTGATGTCCATATGCCCGACATGGATGGTTTTAAGTTACTCGAGCTTGTGGGGCTTGAGATGGACCTGCCCGTCATAAGTAAGCTAGTAATAACACTATTAGCTTTTTGTTTTTTCGTCTTCATCTACATTCTTTAGGCATTTTTTGTCATGATAAATTCCATGTTTTGACCTTACAAAATTTGGGGGGAAATTCAGAATTTTTTTATTTTGGACCACTTTCCATAACAGTGCTGACAATTCATGAACTTGTTTTGTTCCACTTTATGTTACAGTTGTCGGAACAATCGAATCTCTATTTTAACTAATTATAATAAAAAATGCTTTCAGTGTTGTCTGCAAATGGTGATACCAAGCTTGTCATGAAAGGGATTACACATGGGGCTTGTGATTATTTGTTGAAACCTGTTCGAATAGAGGAGCTGCAAAATATATGGCAACATGTGATCAGGAGGAAGAAAGTCTGGTCTAAATCTGGCAGCATAGACAAGCCTCTTATTGACGGTGATGATGCTGCAGGGACCAGAATGAAGATGAGGATGAGGAGTGTGATGAAAGTGGGCATGATAACGAGGAATGTCCCAAAAGAAACCTCGTGTTGTTTGGTCAGGGGAGTTGCATCGTAAATTCATTGCAGCAGTTAATGAGTTGGGAATTGACGGTATGTTCAAAGCTTTTTTTCAGTTTTGGCTACATACTTGGCATAACTATTATTACTGTTGTTTCTAATGTGTGGTATCTCTTATTGTTTAATTACTTAGGAATCTACTAATGCATGCATCTTTTTAATTTTAACATTTTGTGCGGTTTTAATGCAGAGGCTGTACCTAAAAAGATACTAGAGTTGATGAATGTTGAAAATCTTACCAGAGAAAATGTTGCCAGCCATCTCCAGGCACTATTTTTTGTGGTTGCAGAAATTTAGGCTGTACCTAAAAAGATACTAGAGTTGATGAATGTTGAAAATCTTACCAGAGAAAATGTTGCCAATGTCATTGGAACTCAATGAACTACAAAATAACAGGGTTGTTAGCCGCATTGTGCAGCTACCATCTGTTGATGATACAACTGTTTTTCCTGTTTCTGGCAGTCTAATGGTTTCAGGATGCTATGGCAATTCACAGTTTGGTGTTACAAACAGCCCCTTAATTTTAGAAGGAAGCTCTCAGCTGGCGTCTTTACATGCTAGTAATTTGGGAGGCAGTGTTTCTGCAATGGGATTCCAGGATGGGACTACTTCATCCGACTTTACTTCCATAGCTCCTCCTCCCAATCAATTGCAGGATTCGAAAGCAGATATACATGGCCATGCATCCACAATCCTCTGTAATTCAGGACAAGTAGTCAGAAACATGGGCCAATTATTGGATCAAAATAACCCAATTTTCAACAGAAACATGAGTCTTTATTCTGTCAAACCATCGAATTTTGTTGATCCATTATCCATCAATTATAATAAAGGTGAAAACTTGTCTACGGAGCCATCAGTTATTGAAAGGGAAGGGTATCTTATGGTCCAACCTAGGGCACAGGGAAGCTACATACTTGATAATTTGGAGCCATCAGATATGGAGAAGGATGGATACGTTATAGTCGAACCTAGGCCACTGGGGAGTTACGTTTCTGATAATATTGGCTCATTGGAAGATCTGGCAAGTGCAATGATGAAACGGGTAAGAATCATATCTAATTTCTTTAGCTGATGTTTGAATTACATGTTCATAGTTCCAGCCATCAAATTAGCCTGTACTTTAGGTACTCAAGGATATGGACGCATTTATCATTTTAGGCAACATTTCTTAAACCGAGAATTGATCATTTTCTTAAAAAATTCATAATCAATCTTCCTATAATATGCGAATGTTTTTCTTTGAAGTCTATACCGCTGAGTGTTTCATTTATTCCATCAATCGTTTTATGGCATAGTTTCCTGGTAAATTCTCTCGTTTTAGAAAGAAACTAGATGAGTCTGAAGAAGTTATTAGCTTTATCTGTTTAAGTAAACCGCTTAGTTGCTGTTAGATATTGGTCACCGATAACGATATCTGCATCAAAGCTGCATATTCGTTTTGGACCTTTTATGCATAGATTTATGGTGGTGAGTAATATCTTTGTTTCGATGCAGGGCCAAGATAAAGCCGAAGCGACAGAGTGATTCTTGGTGCAATGCTTATTCTCTCGGGACTTGTATTTAAGATGAGAATGTAGCCACATGCAGCAACTGAAAGATCTGCAATGCAACTGTCGTAACCGGTTTTCGTCCGGGCACGAAATATTTATTTTGGCGGGGAAGTTGATGTGAATAAATAATTTTGAAAATAATTTGGGAGTCGCCATCGGCCTTTTGGGTCAGGTAGGTCGAATACCTAAAAATTATTTTTTTTAAAGAGTTTTAAGAAACACTAATAAAAATGATCTGATCTGCGTTTATAACCAAATTCGTTCTTTTAATAAAAAAGGGATTCGTGGTCGGTTACGTTTAGGGAAGGATTAGCACCCCTACAACGCCCAAAATTGGTACTTTTTAATTATAAATTGTCTCTATTATTAAAAATTCACAAAATATTTTTTTTTTAATCTTATTATTTCAAAATTATATAAATATTATTTATTTAAAAATCTGAAAAGAACTTCTAGGTACCTTAAGACAGCTATTTCTTTGATATTAATAAATATTAATTTAAATAATATTAATTTTTTTAATTTTAAATATCAAAATAGGACATCCAGTTGTATTAAGACTGTCCTTTTCTTTGATATTAAAAATAAATATTCAAAAATTACTATTTATTATATGTATATTTATGAATATATAAAATATTTAACAATATAATAAAATAAAATCACTAAAACAATATTTTAAGCAGTAAAATGAAAACATATAAATAACTAAATTATAATAAAAAAAACTAAATCTAATTACTAATTAATTGAAATATAGGGTTTAAATATTTTATTTCTAATTTAATAATTTAGTGACTAAAATGAAATTATTTAAAATTCAAATTTTATAATAAAATTAATTAAAATATGAACTAGGGATAAAAATTATTTATTAAAATTAAGGGATTAAATCTGTTATTTATCCTAAATATATTATTTTAATAAAAAGGACTAAAATAATAAAATTAAAATTCAAAGACTGAATTAAAATTATTATAAATTCAGTTTAGTGACCAAAATGTAAAATTTACAAATACGAAGGACTGCGGAGGTTTAACTATTTCATAATTACGCATAGTCCTTCCCGAAACGACGTCGTTCGGGAAGGACTATAAGAGTCCAAACCGGCTGGCCGAAGGGCCAGCCATTTCATTTTTTTTTTTATGAAGCAAAGAGAGAGAGAGCCAGAATTCTCTCTGGCCTCTCTCTAGATTCCTCCCCGGAGGGAATCCGGCAGCCGTCTGTCGTCGCGAGTTCTGCCGGCCCCGCCGCGGCCACCGTCTTCGGTGGCCGGAAAAAATTTTTTATCCTAAATGTAGACGGACCGTCCTAATGACGGTTCCGATGTTTTTTTTCGTTAAACGGCTCCCATCGGAGCAAATCTACAATAATACCTTCGGCTTTTCGAAGTTTTGGTGAGATCCGGTGACGGTTGGGGCTCTCCGATGACAGGGTAAGCTTTTGCCTCTCTTCTCTCTTTTTTCCTTGTTGTGGTTGATGCTGACTGAGATCGTTGGTTAGTTGTGTTGTTTTTTTTTTCTTTTCTCTGTGTTTTTTTTCTTCTCCGTTTTCTGTTTCTGTCTCTGGTTTCTGTCCCTCCCTTTCTGTCTTTCTTTTTTCTTTTTTTCTTTCGCAGATGGGTGGTGGCTTTTATAGCCACCACCGGTGTTCGTCTCAGACCGGTCCGAAAGAGGTTCTTCGGTGAGTCACCGGACTTCCAGTGGTGACTCACCATTTTGGGCAAGACGTGTGCGGCTGGAGTGGGTGTGGCGGTGAAGGCTTCTAGAACCAACAGCAGCGGCGCTGGGACGTGTCCCTAGGGTATAGATACCCTAGGGTTTCCTCTGGCAAATGGTGGACCGTTGGATCAAACCAGATCCAACGGTTGGAATTGAAGATGGCGGCTGAGGATGATACAAACCCTAAATTGGGTTTAGGGTTTACTGTAGGGGGTCTGGGCCATTGTTTGTAATTGGGCTTCCATTCGGCTTGTAATATTTATTTATATATGTATTATATTTTTAATAAATAATAATAATAATAACAATAATAATAATAATGATAATGATAATAATAATAATAATAATAAAAAAAAATATTAGTATCTTCAGCTGCCCCTCTTTGCTCATTCTTGTGTTAACAAGAATAGAGCAAAGATGAAAAGATAATAAAATTTTTTATCCATTTGACTTTACTTTGATCATAATGGAGATATCGAATAAATTCTTCTCTTTCTCCAGATAAGTTCTTCTTATTATGAACTTTCTGCTGGGGATGATGATGACCTCCTTTCTGTGATAGAGTCATTCAAAAGGTTGAATAAGCTCTTAATGAGTTCTTCTCATTATGAACTTTCTCTAGAAAGGCTGATGCTAATCTATCTCCTTCTGCGATAGAATTATGCAAAAAGTTGAACAAGTTCTTCTTATTATGAACTTATTCTTTCTTCTTCAGATGACGAGTTCTTCTCATTATGAACTCTACCTGGCAATGTTGATCAATTAAATGATGAATTCAAGCAAAAGGTTGAACAAATTCTTCTCATTATGAACTTCTTCTTCCTTCTTCAGATGAGTTCTTCTCATTATGAACTTTCTCTGGAAAAGCTGATCCATCAAATGATGGATTCAAGTAAAAGGTTGAACAAATTCTTCTCATTATGAACTTCTTCTTTCTTCTTCAGATGAGTTCTTCTCATTATGAACTTTCTCTGGAAAAGATAATCCATCAATTTGATGAATTCAGAAAAAAGGTTGAACAAATTCTTCTCATTATGAACTTCTTCTTCCTTCTTCAGATGAGTTCTTCTCATTATGAACCTTCTCTGGAAAAGCTGATCCATCAAGTGATAGAATTAGGCAGAAGGTTGAACAAATTCTTCTCATTATGAATTTCTTCTTCCTTCTTCAGATGAGTTCTTCTCATTATGAACCTTCTCTGGAAAAGCTGATCCATCAAGTGATAGAATTAGGCAGAAGGTTGAACAAATTCTTCTCATTATGAATTTCTTCTTCCTTCTTCAGATGAGTTCTTCTCATTATGAACCTTCTCTTGGAAAAGTCAATCCATCAAATGATAGATTTGAATCTTTGCTAAAATCTTTGAAATTCCTGTTAAAAATTCAACAAGAATAAAAATGAATGAAAATGCATCTATTTTTGCAAATGCCTAAATATGATGCATGAATGTTAAGTTGTTTGATTTCAGATTGGTGAATTGAGTATTTCTTCAATTGTAAAAACCCAATAGATCTTTCTTCTTCAAAACAAAGAATCTATCATCTTTGACAAATATAGATGTAGATATAATGTCACAAAACCTCTTGAGAATAAAACTCAATAGTATAGGCTCTTGAAAAGCTTGTATTCAGTCAACATGTTGATTCTGATAACAATTCATCTGATTATGAAGTGACCTTTCAAGATGATTTCACAGATATCGATAGTTCTTCTAATACCGAGAAATCTTGACTTCTGATTCTGATGAAGAGAATAAACTGTTATACTTGACAAAAATGTGATTCTCAGAGGCTGAAACTTCAAATAGCTTTCTTCCGGTAAAAGATGGGAAGCCATTATGTGATGATCCCAGTTACAAGCAAAGGTGAAACTTGTGCTATGATTTTTGGGAAAGGAATAAGCAAAAGAAGCTTGAAAAGAAACTTCTTAATGAAGACGATCATGCAGTTCATCTTTTAATTCTAATGATTGGTTCTATAGTTCTTACCAAACCAGATCAGATAACTCAAAGAACACTTCCAGAAGATGCTATGAGCACATTCATCTTCCCAATTCAATGATTGGTTCTGCTAAACCAGGTCAGATAACTCAAAGAACACTTCCAGAAGATGCTATTAACAAATTCATCTTCTAAATTCAATGATTGGTTCTGTCCAACCAGATCAGATAACTCAAAGAACACTTCCAGAAGATGCTATTAACAAATTCATCTTCTAAATTCAATGATTGGTTCTGTCCAACCAGATCAGATAACTCAAAGAACACTTCCAGAAGATGCTATGAACAAATTCATCTTTCAGTTAATGTTTGGACTAGGATATCACAATACTTATTTGATGTAGAGCCAGAATTTGTAGATTCGAAGTATTTCCATGCTACTACACTGAAAAGGGCTATATTCATAATTCTGCCAATTAAGAACAGATTTTCTCTTATTTTGCTTCATCCATGTGCTGATGCTTTTCCATTGACAAAGAAATGATGGCTTTCATGTGATCCAAAAACAAAGTTGAACCGTTTATAAACATGTACAAGAAGTACCAAATTGACAGAAAGGATCTGTAAAGCTCTTGAAGCTTATAACAATGAGCCAACTTCGAGTGTTCAGAAGTATGTTCTTAATGAGTGCTGAAAATGGAATCTAGTATGAGTTGGAAGGAATAAAGTTGCTTCACTTGAACCTGATGAGGTGGAAATGCTTCTAGGTTTCCTCAAAAATCATATACAAGGATCTGTATAGAGACATGTTTCCCAGTAATATCAATGTCTTGTTTCTTTTTGCTGGAATCAATGCTGCAAAGATCGCCTTCTACTGTCTTAGTATATCTTTGAAAACAGACGTGCAAGAACTGAATGGTGATCGGTTGGAGCAATTGATGAGTAGATTTGGCGGATTCGACCTTGTTGTCGGTAGCATTCCGTGTAACAATCTTAATGTTCATAGCTTTGAGATGATGATGATTTGCTTATTTTGTATTCCATGTATTTAAAAGTATTAACATAAAGTGATATTCAGAAATCTTTAAATTATTTCAAAATTATGTTAAGTCATATAAAAGAATAAATTAAATTTTCGAAAATAAGTTGAATCACAAATAAATTGGACTTGAAATAGATAGAATTGTATTCAAAGTTCTGGCAAACATAAGAATAATACAAATTCAAATGTCTCAACAAATTATAAGCATAAGTATTTCTAAATTAATCAAGTTGACACAATTTAGAGAAATGATGTAAGCTTTTGTCTGGAAGA